CTCTCAATTTTCCTTGACAATTTAGCAATTTTTGAAAACAAGTCTTCCCGGTCTCTTAAATCATAAATCCATCCCCCTTGAGTTTGGCCAGTCTTTTGAGGAGAAGACCTTGGTACATCGGTAGGATCTGTAATGTCCCATGAATGTGCATTTTGTGCCAATGTATCAAAGTAATCTAAGGCCTCATCAGGGTCTTTGTTCAAAAACTCCCCATTACACATCATGTCAATGAACTGTCGATGGCCCGGTGTGATTCCTTCATAAAAGAAACTCACCAATTACCATGGTTCAAAGCCATGATGTGGAAGGGATTGTAGCAATTCCTTGTACCTCTCCCAACATTGATAGAATAGTTCATTGGGCTTTTCTAAAAAGTTTTGAATTTGCTTTTTTAGGGCAGTGATTTTATGCACCGGAAAGAATTTGTTCAAAAACTCATAAATCATTTGGCTCCACGATGTGATGGTTCGAGGCCTTAAGGAAATAAGCCACGTTTTTGCCTTATCTTTCAGGGAAAAGGGAAATAATTTTATTCTAGCTATCTCTTCCATCCCATGATTGGGGAGGAAGGTTGCAACCATTTCCTCAAAATTCATTATGTGTGAATAGGGGCTCTGAGTTTCAAATCCGTTGAACGTGGGAATTAGTTGCAACATCCCTGGCTTAACTATGAAAAGATGAGCTTGGACCGGAAGGAGGATGCATGATGGTGTGGTGCTTCGTGTTGGTTGTAAAAAATCCCTCATTGACCTCACCGGCGGATCCATTTGAAAATTATTTCCCTCATTCACGGGAAGGGAAAAATTCATTCTCGGATTGGATATTTGGGGTTCTTGTGGTCCCCCACCCCTTTGGACATTTGGATTTGCTCCCCTTTGGACATTTGGATTTGCACCTATATTGTCAAAATTGTCACCCGCATCCTCGGGTTGTTCTTGGTCAATATTCATGGTAGGGGCCAAATTTTGTCTAACAAGTCGGTTTCGATCGTTCCGCCTCCACATAAAACAAAATATATACAAATAAAGTTATACACAAATAAATTATGTACACGGAACAACGTATCTCAGCCCATGATGAAGATCATGAGACTTACCTCCGTCGTCCGAAAATTACCTTCTTGGTTTGACACTTGCCTTCCCCGGCAACGGCGTCAAAAATGCTTGACAAATTTTCTTGTTGTTTCCTAACCTATAAACATCACCTTTTAGCATATATAGTATATGAATAAAGGGGAGTGTCACTCTCCTAGGGATGATGTCAAAAGAAAGGGCAACAGAATGGTGGATGAATGAGATTTCAAATGTGAGTATGTGTGAACAAAAGTGCTCCCTAAGCGCAAGGAGATTTTCGCGGATCGTGTTTTACTTGGTGGTATTTCAAGGACGTTTTCACGGGGAAGGAAGTAAACCGAAGGGAGGTGATTTTGGGAGAAAGAAAGTGTAAAAACTTTGATTGTTGTTGTTTGGTGAAGTTGTTTTGATGTTAGTAAAATGAGAAACAAATGTTGGCAAATCCAAGAGGTCACTCCAATAGGAATATCGTCTCAACTCGAAACCTTCCTCTAATAGAGCATGAATGAACGATTGATTCGTGGGAAGTTAGGGGTAGGATTAGTGAGTATCTAAGCATAAACCGTGACTAGGCCTACGGAATATCAAAGACTCACCAAGTTATCCACTATCAACCCAGTCAAACCGAACCATTGAAATGGTATACCCAAGTGGAGGTTCCTCTTGGTTTTGCCAACTAAGAGATTTAGCTATTCATGCTTAAAATAAAACAACAATATGATGAGAAGACATTATGAAAAAAAAAGACTAAAGCTAAGCATAAACGAATTGCATAAATTTAACTTCCGAATAACCACCTCTTACTAAAGATTGGATGAGAAACTACTCACTCTTCATGGCTTTGTTAAAACTAGAAAAGTGAGTGATGTTCATCCCTCCAAGTAGAGGAGTTACAAGGTAACACATTTTACACAAGGAGCCGATCTTCGACAAAGAATGAGTGAATCACATTCCACCCTTCTTGGCTTTGGTAAAGCTCTAAAAAGTGGAAGAGTTTCACACCTCTAAGGGAAGAAGGAAGCTCAAGCAATGAAACTAAAAGAAAGCAATAACACAATAAAAGAAAGCAATACTTAAAGTAAAAGAAAACAATAAATTAAAATGAAGCAATAAATTAAAATGAAGCAAGAATACAATAAAAGAAAGCAATACTTAAAGAAAGCTATAAGCAATAAGGAAACCAATAATACTTTTTGAGGGTTTTCCACTACCAAAAGATGAATGATTTATAAGTCCTAAGGGGTGGTATCTATAGGCAACAAGGGAGGGTGGAAGTCTTGTTAGGTGGCATTGAATCTTGTTAAGTGGACTTGAAGAGTTTTGTTTGGTGGCTTTGAATCCTGTTAGGTGGACTTGAAAATCTTGTTAAGTGGCTTTGAATCTTGTTAGGTGGACTTGAAAATCTTGTTAGGTGGCCTTGAATTCTTTGATCCCCCTTTGTTTTGAGCTTTGATAATTGGCACCCTAGTAGTTTGTAGCTTTAATGCAATTGGCTTCCCAGTAGTTTATAGATTTGACGCACAAAATCCTGAAAAGAACAATAATTAATGCATTATCCTTTATTCACACACTAATTATAATTTGATTTATTTTGACTAGTTTAACTTTACTCAACTAACAAAATTTACCTATTAAATTATGCCTTAATTAGGGTTAATCACAATCTCCTAGTAAAAAAAAATGGTTTTGACTGCTAGACCTTATGGGAGATTCAAAGCATGAGATTATCTGCTATTACGATTGTTGCCCAACTGTGGAGTTACCAAATGAAGAAAAGGAGTTTCGTAAGAACAGAAGGATGAAGGGATGAATCGGGGGGCACAAGATACCTATTTGCTTGAATTAAGAGCTCACTCATGCCCTCAATCTCCTTGACACCGCAAGGACTCGGAGCATGGAGGCAAATGATGAGCCTAAATCCAATTGGGTCAGGCCTAATTAATAAAGTAAGTCTAAATTAGCTCAAAAATAGGTCAAGCTCAGCTTATAGTTTCAGCATAGTCTAAAGTTCAAGTTGAACTTATCCTCCCAAAAAGTTAGTAACCTACTCATCACATCACCGCCTCAATTAAGACTTTACGCCTATAAATTGTAATCTCTCTCCATATGAGAGGGACATCTCTCTACACACCCTATATACGGCAATCTCTCTCTCATAGCTACTCTAAACTTACCATTGTTCTCTTTCTCTTGCACCTTCTACTTTATTAATAAAATTCTTCGGCCACCATTGCCGTCTTAAGAGTGGAGTAGGTCATCTTGACCGAAATACTATACATTTGTGTGTTGACTCAATGTTTGTCTCCTTTATTAATTGTTCTCTTGATTGTTTCGTTAATTTCTCTAAATCATTCACTCGACTGTTCATTGTACATAAATTCACGTCTTCAGAGTGGAGTAGATCACCTTGACCAAACCATTATACATCTGTGTGTTGACCTAATCTTTATCTCCTTTATTAATTACTCTCTTGATTGTTTCATTAATTTTTTTGAATCATACACTCGACTATGAATTATGCATAAATTTATTTTTTTACATCGTCAGTTGGTGACACTTCCCCGTCCGACGACTGGCCGTCGGCGACAACTCATCTGGCCTGCATGAAAAGGTCTCTTTTTCTAAAGTCAACTTCACACCTCAACACCAAACCCTGGACCCCACCCCACGCCACCCCCACCCGAACCCGTCCTCACCAACCACAACTTATCAGATTCTCCAATCATCAATTTCACTTTTCCCACTTTTACCCCTTAACAACCCAAAATCCCCATCTACTTCCCCTCACCAACCCCATCTTGTATTCGGAAGACCCCGTCCTTTTAATATTTTTTTACTCCTTTATTTTTAATTTTTTTTTATTTTAAGTCGGTTGGTTCTATTTACTTTTTTGGACCAACTTCACTTTAACCCCTCATAGTTTAATCTATTTACACAGTACCTCCTTAAAATTTGAAAATGACAAATGACTCCCCTATGGTTATCTAAATAAAATGCACTATTAGATTTTTCATTAATTTTAACGGTTCGTAGATATCACGCGCCTATTATAAAATTTGAAAAAAAAATTCCAAATAGACAAAAATACCCCTAACACTTGTGTCTCCTCTATCTCTCACTATCTTTGTATGTCCTCCTCTCTCTCAATCATCTCATCTTCAATGGTAACAATTGCGATCACCAACCTCTCTAAGATAACAAGTAATAACCACGACTACCACCCATCTCTTCCATCACTAATCAACCACCACCATCCACTTCCTCTTTCCACCAATTAACCACCGTCCACATCCTCTTCTCTTTTTGCAACATAAACAGTGAGCATTTCATTCTTGTATTGTTGTCATCAAGACTTCGATTTTCATTCACTGTACATTCATCTCTCCTCTAATTTTTAATTTGATTATGAATCGTTATCTTTATTTCAATTTTGATTTCTTGTTTTATTTTGATTTTGATTTTTTTCCATGTCAGTTTTTAATTTTGATTTCCAATTTGACTCTATTATCATGCTTCGATTTTTTATTCATGTTTCATGAGCTGTCGTGGTGGGTGATTGCGTAGTGGATTGTTGGATTTAAGGGCGATGACTACTTGTCGGAGTTGTTTTAGGGCAATTTTATTTTTCTAAATTAAAAAATAAATTCATGGGCATTAAGGTCATTTTATTGTAACACTTAACAGAGTTAAGTAACAAAAAACTTGACAAAGTTAAGTGTGTATTTTCTAACCTCAAGGAGGTGACGTACAAATGTGTTAAACTATAAAATAAAGTTTGTCCAACTTTATATTTTAACAGTATCAATTCATTCAATCATTTTAATTCGTTTGAAAGTCATAACTTAGAATTTCTAATGGAATAATAATCAGTTATACAAAACATATTCTATTTAAATACATGAAAAATGATGCATCGAGAATAATATATTATAAGAGATCTGAAATCCCGACACCCTCAACTACCCAGTTCCAGTATATATATTTCACAATCTTGAAGGCTTATACAATCCACAACTCCCCCACCTAAAAAAAAAAAAATCATACCCGTCACTCATTATCACCTACTTTCTCATCAAACTCTTCTTCAATGGAGCCCAAAACAACAGAAGAAATAATTTTCCGATCAAAACTCCCCGACATTTACATCCCAAAACACCTCCCTCTACATTCATATTGCTTTGAGAACATTTCAAAGTTTAGTTCTCGACCATGCTTAATAAATGGAGCTACCGGAGAAGAATACACCTACGCCGACGTCGAGCTCACTTCGCGGAGAGTCGCCGCCGGTCTCAACAAGCTCGGTGTTCAACAAGGAGACACGATCATGATTCTGCTACCCAACTCGCCGGAGTTCGTGTTTGCCTTTCTTGGAGCATCATATCGTGGAGCCATATCAACCATGGCGAACCCCTTTTTCACTCCGGCGGAGGTTATAAAGCAAGCGAAGGCGTCAAATTCAAAGATGATAATCACACAATCAAGTTACGTGGAGAAAGTAAAGGACTTTGCGAGTCAAAACGGAGTGAAAATCATCTGTATAGACTCACCACCTGAGGGTTGTTTGCCGTTCTCGGAGTTAACTCAGACCGAAAAACTGTCCCTACCGGAGGTGAAAATCAACCCGGACGATGTGGTGTCTCTGCCGTACTCCTCCGGAACAACTGGGTTACCGAAAGGAGTGATGCTGACCCACAAAAGCCTCGTAACAAGTGTGGCTCAACAGGTCGACGGAGAGAACCCAAATCTTTATATGCACAGCGACGACGTTATGCTCTGTGTTTTGCCATTGTTTCATATATATTCTCTGAACTCGATCTTGCTATGTGGATTAAGGGTTGGTGTGGCCATTGTTCTTATGCAGAAGTTTGAGATTGTTCCATTTTTGGAGCTGATACAGAAATACAAAGTGACGATCGGACTTTTTGTGCCGCCGATCGTTTTGGCGATTGCGAAGAGCCCTGTTATTGAGAATTATGATCTGTCGTCGATAAGGACGGTGATGTCCGGCGCGGCACCGTTGGGAAAGGAGCTTGAAGATGCTGTCAGAGCTAAATTTCCCAATGCCAAACTTGGTCAGGTTAGTGAAATTTTCTTCCTACTTTGCTTTCGTTACCTTTGACTTTTTTTTGGTGGATTTTTTTTTTTGTATTTCTTGATAATCTAAACATGGTTAATTGGAAATATTATAAAATTTGGGGTTAAGATTCCATTGTAAAATTCTTTATTGTCATGTTTTTTTTAAGATAAAACCAAGTTCCTAGAACATGGGGGGAGGGCAACTTTATCTTGTTTTTTTTTTTTTTGCAATGGTCAAGGATATGTACATCAATTTACACAAATCTCGACTATTGAAATTGACCTCGAAAAATTGATAATATTTAAATCTATAGTCCATTCTGTTATCATTTGAATTACTTTACATATAGAGCAATCAATCGATCAAAAAATAAGATAAAAACCAAGGACGAAATATTGTAGTATTGGCATGGCAATGTTTTGTTTACCGCCATATCTTGTAGTTCTTATTTCTGGTTAATCTAGCACTACCCCGGACTTAATCTGGTATTGTGATTAGATCAGTACTGTGTCTTCATTTTAAATTGACTTCACTATTAATTCAATAACAACAGTAAAATTGATTTGTAAATTAGGTTGGATGATGATTTGTCTCGCCAGATAGGACTACCACTAAGTGATTCTCAAATTTTTAGATATTAGGTACATGACCTATTGACAAAGACAAGCAACATCCCAACACTCACTATCATTTCAAAATGTTAAGATCATCTTTAATTGAACAGATGATTTTGGTCCCATTCACCAATTATCCCAAAACCACTTTTTTGTCGGTGTTATATTAATAAATGTATAAGTTAATTTACACACATTTCGACTAATCTATTATTCGGTTCGATCATACCTAAACTGTGATGACGGGATCGGTTCAACTAACTTCTGATAGTAATAAATAAAAAGTTCAATCTCAGTAAAAATGGAGACTATTCTTATTTCTTTTTTTTGGGATTAACAGTTATGGATGTTTAGGTTAGTTTACGAGTATTTCGATTAATCTTTTCTTTAGTCTGGTTAAAGGTAAGTCATTTACATTAAGACTAAAATATTCACGAAAAATAAATTTCTTATGATCAACCCTAACAAATTGTAAAGACGAGACTAATTGTGAATATGGTTTAATTAATGTACAGGGTTATGGAATGACCGAGGCAGGGCCAGTGCTGGCAATGTGCTTGGCCTTTGCAAAGGAACCATATGAGATTAAATCTGGGGCATGTGGGACTGTTGTCAGAAACGCTGACATGAAAATTGCTGACCCTGAAACTGGTGCGTCTCTTCCTCGCAACCAGCCTGGAGAAATATGCATCAGAGGTGACCAAATCATGAAAGGTAAGCCCCTCGTTTTCTTAAACAACAATGCTATTGCTATTTTTTTATTGCTACCTAATCACCGCATCATTCTTTAATTTATGTGCAAGAGTAATAATAAGACTGTTAATCGAATTGATTTAATCGTTTTAAATGAGTTTAAAATAACTTAATTATTATACATATAAACGAATTAAATTTTGTTCAAATTCTACTCGTTTAAATAATGAATCGAGCCAAAAATACGCTGCATTTGAATAACTCGGTTTGATTTTTCACAGTCCTCCTTTTTATTTTTGTTTTTTTTTCTCTTCACCCCACTCCCACTCGGAAAGTTTAAAAAATTATCAGAAACTATATTGGATAAAAATAAAATAAAAATTTAAATCAATGGTAATTAGTTGTTTAAAGAGTGAAAGATTGGCGACAGAAAACTACGTGTTGAATGATGATTAGAGTGAAACTTGACTTAATAAAATAGCATTATAAGAATTTAAGAAAAAAAAAACTTCTCAAATTATCATATCCTTCCTAATTTGTTTGTTATAAAATAGAAGATTTTATCTAATTTATTATTATCATTTGATTAATAACGAACTTTATTCTATTGGTGGATCTACCAATCATGGAATAACAATAATTGAATAGAATTGTGTTTATTGTTTAGATCTTATTGGATATTATTTTATTCTTAATCACCTTTATGTTTTTGTCATACCTTACCTTTCTTAATCATGAAAAGGTAAGTCCTAGTTTTCTTAGCAATAATGTTTCCATTGGAAAAAAAAAAACTATTTTTTTTAAGAAAATTCAAACGAGTTTTGTTGTTAGTTTTTTAGAGAGTGAAAGATTGGTTATAAGCAGTGAATGATGATTAAAGTGAAACTCAATTTAATAAAAAAATAAAATTATAAGAATTTAAAAAATAAGAAAAGAAAACTTCTCAAATGATCATATCCTTCCTAATTTGTTTATTGTATATAAATAAAAGATTTAATCTAATTTATTGTTATAATTTAATTTTTAACGAACTTTATTCTAATTGGTTAGATGTTTACATCTGATTGATTTTGATTGATTCTTACTCATCTCCTTGTTTTGTCGTACCTTACCTAACTCACACCTTCACATGGTGGTGCGTAGGTACCTGAGTCCTGTCATGTGTAGTTTTGTCAGGTTTGTCTACTGATTTTTTTGGTACTTTCCAAAAAAAGAAAAAAAAACAGAAAGAGTTGCATTTTGGCCTCTCAACTAGTTATTTATGTTATAAATTGTTTAGGTTTGTACCGTTATTCAAATTAATTTAAGGAATTTTAAAAGTCTAAAAGAAAATATATTTGATCACTGAACCAAAATAACTGTTGAATCTGGATCAAACATGTGACAATCATGTCCTAGAAAACCTTGTAGGACATGTACAATTCATAATAATAAGGCTCGGTTCATGGAAAGATGGAAGCATAGTATGTATATATACAAATAATATATATGTATACATTATAACATGATTGAGTAGGGCAACCACCTTTTTTACCTAGCATACTGCTTGTGAGACCACTGTCTCATGTTAGGGTCATGCTACAGTACCGTGCCCATGGATCAAATGAGTTATAATTGTTGATACAAAAAATAGTCACTGTCTCATCTTTTATCGGTTACCTACCTGATCACTAGAGTGGTGATACTGGAGTGGTTTTCTAAGCGAGTCCTCTAATTTTTGGTACTATATCGAAAAATAGTGCGATGATACCGAAGTATAATTCCTCTTATTATTTATTGCCTAAGAAAAATGAAAGAAAAGAAATAGAGAGAAACGTGCAAAAGGTTAAAGTACATACGACCCTTCCACCAACAACAATTGAGAAAATATTCAATGACAAAGTATTACTTACCAACCCCCCATAACATTAAAAAAATAAAGGATAAGAAAATAAAAAAAATGACTTCTATGTAGATACAATGATTCAATTAGAATCTATTTAGATCTGTAGTACAACCTGTTAACTACATTTTTAATTACACCCAATTGTTGCTTTTAGATCTGTAATACAACCTGTTAACTACATTTTTAATTATTATATAAAACAATGATAACGAATTAACGTGTACATTAACTTAGTTGATAATGGACCCGTTTGGAGCTGGTCGTGGGCCTACCAGATGGACCTCCTTATGGGTCTTAAATGGGTCAACCCTATGGATCAAGGTGAAACAAAGACATGGCCCACATCCCTATCTGTCGGGCTAAGAAGCCATCAACAAATCCACCTGACGGACCCGAATGGTCACAGTCCAATAGACAGTCGGGCCTTCAAGGTCAGCACCCTTATAGGAATTTAGTGTGTGCTGAAAAATAGACTTTTCTTTATAAGAACGGCAGGAGAAAAAATCTTGCATCTATCTCGAGTTGCTCCCTTGAACGATCTATCTCTAGTATATTGTAGATTCGTTGGTATATCGTTTGTTTTCCTCTCTTCGATGAAGCAAATTCTCTAATTAACTGCAATTCGAATAACAAATTTTAAGCTTTACTTTCTTCCTTATAATCCCCCAAGTGGTGGTGAACCAGACTAGAGTCTAGCACACTGAACCGTTAAAACCATGACAAAAATAGGAGTCGGTAAGAGTTGGAGTGGGTATTTTTTTTACATGTACAGACAAAGAAAGTTACTACTTCTGATCTATCTTATTCTGAGAAAACCTAAAGGCTTGCATTTGATTCTCTGCTTTAGTGCGCTATTTTTTTCTGTTAAATTAGAAGGTTGTCTGCCGCGGTCTCATGATCAAGTTGAAATGTAGATCCCTATGTGGTGCATGAACATATCCAACTAAATCAAGTGTTGAAAACATTCCTTAAGAATTGATTTCACCTTAATTTGTATGGAACTGACCCCAGTGACCCTCCAACTTTTGTACATTGTTTAGGTTATCTCAATGATCCGGAGGCCACAGCAGCAACCATAGACAGCGAAGGTTGGTTGCATACTGGTGATATCGGCTTTATCGACGACGATGATGAGCTCTTCATCGTCGATAGGTTGAAGGAGATAATAAAATACAAAGGATTTCAAGTTGCACCTGCTGAACTTGAAGCGTTGCTTCTCACTCATCCCAACATTTCGGATGCTGCTGTTGTCGGGTAAGTCCATTACATTATGTTTTCTAGTCACTATTGGTTTCATGTGTAGGGTTCGAGAGTGTGATTTGATCGGGTTAATCTTAACTCAACCCAAAAAATTTGGTACCTTGACAGAAGTTTCTTTGCAACCCGAGAACTCAACCCAATATGAACCTAATTTTTAATCTGAATTGTGTAAACTCTAGTTCAATGCGAGTTTATAATTTTAAACATAATCAATGATCCTAATCAACTAGAATATGGAGGTGCTTATAACATAGCAAACTAATCTGATATATATTTAATAAAGTACAATACAATTCAAATTTCAAAAGACAAATAAAATAATTTTTGTTTTTCGCAGTTGAGATCTCTTTAAATTTTATTTTAAAGTTAATCCGACGACTAATATTAACACCTTAAATTTAATAAAAAAAATAGGTAATTAAGAGTGTGTTTGGGATGACTTTTTAAAAGTACTTTTAGAACTTATAAATACTTATGAATACTTTAAAAAAAAAAAATTAGTATTTAGAATCACTCCACCACTACCACCCCCTCCGCCCCACCACCATCACCACTACTGCTGCCACCTTCGCCCTATCACCACATTTTCCACAACAATTATCACCTCCACCGTTGTCGTTGCCTACACCATTACTGCCACACCCGCCACCACCACTACGGCCACCCCACCACTACTACCATCGCACCACCACCACCACACCGACCGCCCCACCATTACTGTCGCGGTCACTGTTGTCGTCACCACTATTGTCGTCATCCCACCCCCACCACCACCCTTGTCGCCGCCGTTGCCCCACCACCATTGCTACCCATCATCGATTACTATTACCGTAGTCCATCGCCACCACCCACCACAATTTTCATCTCATTCTTATATTTATTATCATTATCACTATCGCCCACCATCAACAACCACTACTACCATTGTTGCTCACAACCACCTATCGCCGCCCACTATCACAACCCTCCATCACCCATCATTGTCCACCATCGTCGCCGGTCAGTGTCACCCACCCCCATCAAACATACCACCACTAACCACCATCAATCATCATCACCCACCACTGTTGCCACCCACTGTTACCCATCTCTACCACCATCACCACCACTATTTACCACAACTCATCACAGTGTCGTCCAGAAACACCTGTTGTCGCCCACCACCTCCATCATCACTACCCACCGCCACCATCGTTGCCCCATCATCAGCATTACCAACCACCATCTCCGTCACCTACAACCACTATTGTCATGACCCATGACTGTCTCTACCACCTTCAGTCACTAAAAATCTACCACCAACATCACCGTTGCCACCCATGACTGTCACCATCACCACAGTCGTCACCACCCACTACAACCATCACCGTTTTCCACTACCACCGTTCACTCCCATTACAACTGGTGTTTAAATTCTTTTCTTTACTCTATGTTTGTAATTTGATTTTAGGTGTAAATATAAATATATTTATTATTGACCATTTTTTTTTATTATTATGTACCTTCAGGTACAGGTAATAATTAGTTCCTTAATAAAATAACAGGCAAAACAACTATATATGCAATGACTTATTAGTAGATTAATATAGATCACCGTGGAATGTCATATAACTTCCTATTTTCAACAAGCTACTTTTACATCCATTTGTAAAAGAAAGAAGTTTGTGTTGATGGGTAAATTTGTTAATAACTCTTAGCATCAAATGTTTTTGTGTTTTCACTTTCAGAATGAAAGATGAATTAGCAGGAGAGGTTCCAGTTGCCTTTGTTGTGAGATCAAGCGGCTCTGATGTCACTGAGGATGCGATCAAGCAGTTCATCTCCAAACAGGTAACTGATTTTGGCCCACTATGTTTTGATGTAAGGAGCCCTAATTTCAGAATGGAGTAGTAAAAATGTAAGGGTAAAGATAAAGTAGTGAGTTGAATATGATGAAGACATAAACTCCACAAATAATAGAAAAAGTTAGGTCCGTATAGTTTGAAGGTTATATGTATAGTTTAATTCAACCATTCGTGTCACATAAGTGGCACGTTTCGTCACTTTTTGCTAGAAAATTTAACAGTGTCGGACAGAAGGATTCAATTGACACAATTCGAGAATTTAGGGGTTTAATTGACACAAAAAAAGTTTAGGGGCTTAATTAACACAAAATTCATAAGTTGAGGATTATATTTGTAATTTACTCTTAAAAGTATCTATTCATATATTGCTAATAGGATTCGGATCGTAATTGGATACAGATCAAACCTAGTTAGCACATTCAATTAACAAGGCCCAAACTATAAAATGATCTTTAAAGAGTTTTGTTGGTTGGCATTGACTTAGGCTAATGTAAATGTAAATGATAGTTTGCAAGAATGGTCTGATATCTCCTTCAAAAGAATAACAGATTCTAATATATATTGACCTCTTGGCGGCTAAAAGATTAGATAAACCTAGAATCAATTCTCTGTTTTAATGAAATTGTCTGCATTAGGAGGTTCTTCTTGTTTTAATGGGGCTTCTTAGTATGACATGCCATCCTTGAATATGAATAAGTACTACAAATAAAGCCGCAAAGGCTTGCCCTCGTTCTTGGTCCCAAAAAAATGTCAAAATTTAAATTTAGAACATCTGAATGTACAACTCATTTATGTTATCACTTCAGCTTCTTTGGAGTTTTGTTCTATGCTTAGCATCTTAAGATTCAGAGTACCCCAAACTAAATATGAGATTATGTGATTGTCTCTTCAGGTAGTGTTTTACAAGAGAATAAACAGGGTTTTCTTCGTGGATGCAATTCCAAAAGCACCCTCGGGCAAAATCTTAAGGAAGGAATTGAGAGCAAAGCTGGTAGCTGGTGTTCAAAATTAGAGTACCTACCTGCCTTGTGTTCTTTCAGGTAAATCCAGGCTCGATACTTGCACTCCCAAGAGCCTCTCTCTCTTTATTAACTATTGTCTATTCAAAAAAAAAAAAAAAAGAAACATGTTTGAAAAATCAATTTTAGAATAACATAATTTCTGTAAGAAATGATTTATGAAAAAACTGGCAATGTCTTGTATTTTTAGTTTATTTTGAAGGAAAAGACTGATGGGGCTGCAGGTAATTAATGTAATTTTCTTGTGGTCAACCCATATATTTGTAAGATAAGGGGGAGGGTAATACATTTACTATGCCTTTCTCCTACATGTTTGGGAATATTGTTCGGCTTTAATGTAATGAAGTTTCTTTGGTGGGAGGAAAGTGGTAAACTGTTGTTCTGGAAATAGTGGGCGGATTCTGGACTTGGGAAATACATTATTTACTTTCCCACAACACATTCTTTACTTTATCACAGCGGGACCGAGGATTAAGGCTATACCTTCCATCCAGAAGGGGAGACTCCCACGAACGAACTGTGCTCCTTATTAACATAAGGTGGTAGAACATAAGTAATGTTTTTTCTGTTATTTGAAAATATGTTGTTCCTTAAAACGATGTTCTTTTACTCACAAAACGAAGCAACAGGCATGTTGTGCTGCAGAGGATCCCAACTTGTTGAATGCTGGAGAGAAAATGGTTAGGTGTTTTGGCCTTGTCTGTTTAAATAGAAAACTAGTATGAAGATTGTGGAATTAAAACGGCGTAATTCAAATGGTCAGTCTTGATTATCTCAAGATTTTACTAGCGAAGAAATCAAGGCATCACTCATTGTGAAAGGCAAGGTTTGATTTCTTAAGAGATTAAGTAAAAAAATTTCTAAGCGATTAAATAGAATATCGATTTATCTCTTAAGGGTAAATTTATGTTATTATAATTTTATACGGGCCCATTTTTTTCCCGTAAATCATATGGACCCATGATACTTTTGGATTACCAATACCGTCAAAATAGTTTCTTCATTAGGCATGAAAATGGTTGACACGTTAATAAATTTAAGATAAATCATCAGATGTAAGTTAAGCGTCCCTCGTAATCATTTGAGTTTCCGCTAAGGTTAATTGGTGGTTTCATTTCAATTATAACTTTTGTTTTGGTTGGGTCAATAGATTTTTTTTTTAATTCGTAATAAGTGACATATCATCAACAAAAATTAAAAGAAAAATGTTTTGGTGATGTAGCTTGATGCCAATGTATGAACCTAACAAGAATCCCTAAATTTAGAGAAATTGCAGGCATACGTCTAAAATGTTTCAATAATTTAAAGATTAAATTATACTTTATACCCTAAACTATTATTTTTATTTCACTTGTCCTCTCAACTATAAAATTTTTCACATTGCACCTTAAACAAGGATCAAAATTTATTTTCGGTGCATTGTTTCGGTCACCTAGAAAACGAAAATGTTTCGACGTATTTTTAAAACGTTTCGTTTCATTTCGAAAATATAATGAAAAAAATAAAAAATTTAAGAAATATTTTTTCAAAACATTGGTTAAAATTTATTAAAGTATCTTGAAACATCCCAAAACAATTGTTCAAATGTATTAAAACATTACAAAATACCTCAAAATATTAGAATTTCAATTTTATCACTGATTTGTTTCAATTTTCTTGAAAATGGAAACCTTTCAGACGTTTTGAAAGAAATTTTGATCCTTGACCTTAAAGTATTAATTTTGTCTCATATCACTCCAATAGATGAAGATAAACTTGAAAATCTGTTAAAGGAGGGAGGGAGACTCTAAAAGTCTTCTGCTTCAAAATAAAGTGGTACTAAGTGCATAATACCACTTTATTTTACCTCTTTTGCAACTAAATGATTGTTAGGAAGAAAAAGAAGGTCGGTCAGAGGAAGAAACTTTGGAACTTAAGAAGGACAAGATCATCGATGAATATTTTTCTTGATTTTTAACATATACATGTACAATAAGCAATTTCTTATTGGTAGTACAGGCCACTTATATGTGCATTTACCGTCAAAAAGTTGACAATAATTATTTATTAGAGTGATATGAAATAAAATTGATACTTTAAGATACACTATAAGAAATTTTATAATTAATGGTATAAAGTAAAATAAAGGTAATAGTTCAAGAGTAAAGTGTAATTTACCATAATTTAAACTACATCTTCTGTAGTTGTCTGACTTCTTTCATTCTTTCTTTCTTGCTTTTTCCAATTCTTCTTTTCCTTCCCCCTTTTCTTTCTACTTTCTTTTTATTCACCCCATGATTGCTAATTTTTCCTTTCCTCTTTTTTTTGCTTCTTTTTCCATTTCCTTTTTATCTTGTTCTCCCCTTTTGTAAAGTCCGTCAATTTGAATAAAAAAAAGGAGGCCGAGAATCAATCAATTAAAGAGAACTATTGAATATTAACAACAATCCATCTATACAGAAATAACCCCGCGATCATAGATTAATTTGATTCTATAATTCTAAACTCCTAATCATAATAATATAGTAGTTATACTCTTGGTAAGCATTTAACTGCTCTCATTCATCGTCTTTTCATGAACTAGTAAGACATATCGATGTATATAAAAAATTAAGTTAATAAAAAACAATCGAAAAGTTTCGCACATCGAAAAAGAGAAAAATTGTTAGAATTACTGGCCAATGGAAAAATAAAAATAGAAAATAGAAAAAATTATAGCACACATAAATATACAACTTTACAAAAATTTTACGAAGTTGTGTGGTCTAGTAGCACTTAACTCTCCGTCAAGGGTCTAATTCGAGACCTATAAAGGCTCTGTCTCAGATTTGATTCATAAAGAGTAGACTATTGATTTACTTCTAATGACCTGGTGGGGGCTAAAGTTCGACTACAACTCATGTAGTATTTGGGGAACGCTTTCGAGTTTGTTTGTCTAGGCTCCACTTGAGGGTTTTTCTGGCGAGTAAGAGCTGCTATGCTCACATTCTTGTAAAAAGATGTTTTTATTCTCAATTCGTACCCTCGAACATTAAAAATCTTAATTTACACTATCAATGTTATGTATTAGTAGCAATATAGACCTAATCTACACTGTCGTTAAATTTTCCCTCATAAATTTAAGCGCGTGAAATACAAGTATTTCTGGCATGATGATGAAATATGTCCATCATTGCAAAACTATGTACACGATCAATTTGACATTGTTTTTATGTATCGAAAATATGATTTTAATAATCAGATAAAGATTAACGATATCATATGCAACTTACATGAGATGTCAACAGCCTGTGAATTTATACATAAACCCATGCTCGATGTACTCGTAACTCATGCACTTTAATTTTTGGCAAAAACTTAAACTATAGTCTGAGTCAGGTCCACATTACTATCAATTCATAACATTAATGGTGCAAATTAAAATTAGCCAAAAAAAAAAAATTACTGAATTTTGGTCCTTAAATGTATTGAAAAATGGGAAATTTGGAGGCCGATCTCCCTATATGGACTTAAGTCTGCCAAGGAAACTTATTTGTTATAAAATCCGTTTTTTTAAATTTTATTAGACTATCCATTCCATTTAGAAGTGAAGTAAAACTAAAAATTAAAAAACTCTTAAATTTTAGGAGTTTAACTAACATTAAATTTTTTTTTCTCTCATATCTATTTATATCCATATATCGGTTAGGACTATATTACTCATGTCTGAAGGCACTATACAACAAATAAAAAAATCTTTAAACCATTGTCCAAATTCAAAAGGAATGACCTAAAAATATTTATACAAATTCTTCTTTCAAAATGACTCGAAATATATTTACCATATCCTCCATATTAATGGAATTGCCATAAAAATATATAAAAACTATCCAAAATAACATAATATATACAAATGCCTTTGAAAAAAAAAAATACTAACATAACCTATTGAAATTTACAATCTTTCAGTAACAAAAAAAATAAAAAAAACTTAATCATTTATAAGACTCACGAGTTTATCACATTTACTACCACTCAATCTAATAGCATAATTTAATTATAAACTCAACCATCATATTTCCAATCCACCTATCCCCATGAAATGAATGCCTCAAGCCAAAAAAAAAAAAAAACTAACAGAACATTTTAAATTCACAATTTTTAAGCGATAAATAAAATCAACCCAAATCTTACTCATTTATAAAACTAATGAATTTATCACCACTATCACCATTCAACCCCCAAATGATATAATATAATTATAAATTTAATCACCAAGTGTCCAATCCTCCACATATAAATATACAAAAAAACAAACTTACTCACATTTCTTTTTTGGTTATCAACAAACCCTTCTAATCAATAACAACTTTTATTAGGAATACAAGAATTCATGTTTTTAATATAAAATAATATTTAATTTAGAAATAGGGTAATTACATGGAGATTCATTATGTCTCCCTTCCGTAAATATTGCTAACGAAAATTGATAATTTCATCTCAAATTACTTTATTATTTTTACAATCATCCTTCTCCAAATTTAGTACCAAAAAAATATTAAAAGATTAATAAAATTTGATTTTGTACCCAAAAAATTGATTCAATGAATTTCAATATTAATTTGATAACAATAAAAATTAATTTGATATTAATTTAGTAAAGTTGAATATAAATTGGACAAAATTAAATGTCAATTTTTGATAAAATTATATATTAATTTATAATCTAAGATGCATTTGTGTTAAATATTATTTGGTGTTTATAATCAATGTGTTATTTTTTATTTACATTAAGCGTTATTTACAAATTAAGAAGGAAGTGGCACAGTACATGTTGTCAGATATATAAAAACTTTGAATTAGTTTCATCGAATAAATAATTGTATAACATGTACTTTTATTTTTATGGAGTAAATAATAACAAAAATAACACAAGAAAAAAAAAAGATAATAGTATGAGAGAAAGAGAGAGAGAGTGTGTGTGTGTGTAATATAAGAGATAGGAGTCTTAGAATCGTAAAATGAATGAAAGTTCAAATAGGACCATTGGATCAAATGATCAGAGCCGTGAAAAGCTCAAGACAAACAATTTAACTACTTTATTTTATACTAGCTATTGCTTGTGTCT